CAACACAAAGAGAAAGCAAGCCTCTGCGATTGCAGTATACAAACAGTCTCAGAATCTGTCTTGCTTTGTTATGAAAGTCATTTTAATTGCCAATATGTGGCTGTTGAGATGGCAGAAAATAGTTATATTGTTAAGTAAGAAAATGTCAGATGCTCAAAGAGGAGTGTGTGAAAAGAAGTCAGCAGAGATGAGAGGAGCCAGTGTCCCTGGGAGCAAGCAGCACATGAGGGCCTCTGTGACATAAACTACCATAAGAGATGGGGATCCAGAAGCAAGAATGTTGACAAGTGTCTGGGACATGTGAAGGTGAAATGTCACTGTCTTCTAATTAGCAGAAACTTCAAGTTGCCTTTAAAAGAGAAGTTGATGACAGCCTGAGAATTAGATAGTCATCTAATTTTAGAGCCGAGTGCTTTACCCAACCCTGACATTTGGCAGATAAGAATACTGTTGGCTCAGAAGTGGATGGCGACATGTCCCAACCTATTCAGGATGGGGAAGGCTTCAGAGCCGAGGGCCAGCACAGGACTTGTCCTCCTCCCTTGCCTTCCTCCTCTCGGATGGAAGCTTAAGAAAATGTGGTGTCCTTTACCTGTTGATTCCTATAATGAAAGAGGTGGCCACATCAGTATGTCCATTTAGTAAAGGCTGCAATTCTTTCCCCTCATCAGTAGTAAGGTTAATTGAAAGCTGTAGCTCAATCCCTCAGACTGAAGGTAGCACCTTATAGTCAGCCTCTCTGTGGATGTAGCACCCTCCCATTTGATAGCTTTGATCTTATATTTAAATTTTCCGAAGGCTTGGCCTCTTACAGAGGAGAATTTACATGGCAAGGGAGGGATGGGGATTGTTGCAGGAGCCACTCAGTGAGAAGGCAAGATGAGGTGTGACCCAGAGCACAAGGTTCCCATCAAATGGCCATTTGGATTATGCCATGGTAAAGTTCCTTGTCCCTGAGATGCTCTCGATGGCCCCAGCTGACTTCAAGATACCATTTCATGATGCGTTATTGGCATGCCCCTTAAAAGATGCCCAGAACCAAGAATTGGAAGTGACCAAGTGCACACACCTAGCTGTGACAGCAACGTGACTTCTGCACAGCTCCTCACGTCAGCTCAAGATCTCCTCCGACTCTAGAAAAGCTGACGTGTCATGACACCAGAACATCCATGTAACATATCCTCGCTGAAGGTGTTCAAGTAGCATGTTCTTCTACATGAGTTCCTACAGAGCAGTTACCCTTCAGCCCCAATGCTCATGTGGCTCTGAAGCGCATAGGAAGGCGTGAAAAGCTCGAGCCACACAGGCACTAAATTACTGTTAGGAATCCAACTGAGCCATTTATTTTTAGCTGCAGTCTCTAGCTTTTCAAAAATATGAAATGCTTCTCAACTTATCTTTCTAGTATAAGGAACTGTGCTAAGGTAGTACACAACACCATAGACAAGCTCACTTGTAAATAGGCACATCAAATCCTGAGTGTTTGTGAATATAAGCCAGACTTCAGGGAAGGCTCAGCAAGTAGGAATTATTCCAGAAATGCAAAGAATTCAGAACTAGAAATATCAATGGATATGATCAGTCATAGCAAATTAAGGGGAAAGTTTTTTGTCTCTGTTTGACTTAATTACTAGTAAAATTTAAGAGTATTTCTTAGTATTAAACATTTGTGGCCAGTAACAGGCCTGGGGGTCAGACAGTGTAGGTGTGAATCTTCACCACCTTGGAGCAGGCTGTGTAGGTGTGGATCCTTAACACCTTTCTTAACTGTTAAAGCACAAGCAATTTAAGGTTAAATCAGATTAGTCCAAAATTTTAAAGCATGCACTTCTTGTGTTACTGTCAGAACCCATACAACAAGGGGAGTAGGGAGTATTTGCACATCAAGTGTCTGCTAAGGGAGCTGTGTCGAGAACAATTCCTACAACTCAACAGAAATGTAGCTTAGTTTAAAAACAGGCAAAGGATTTGCAAAGGTTCCTCCAGAGACGGTATACAACTGGCCCAAGAGCGCTTCAGGAAGACATTCAGTGCCATTAGTGATTAGTACAGTCAACCTAATCCACTCACTGCGAGACAACATCTGCCTTGGACAGCTAGGATCAAAATAACAGACAATAGCGAGTGTGACATTGAATTGCATTGCTGGTGGTGGGAAAGTAAGATGGTGTGCCTGCTGTGGAAGGCAGATGGGCAAGTCTTCAAGATGTTTATCAGGGAGACACCACATGACTCAACAGAGATTCCACCTTACAGACAATGAAAACATATGTCATTTGAGAACTTACGAATGTTCTTAGCAGCTTTGCTCAGTAGTCCCCAAATACCCCAGATGCCCACTGACTGATGGATGGATTGATAAAATATGGTGATTTGTATAATGAAATATTATCTTTGAAAAGGATTAGGGTTCCAATGGACCTTGAAAGGTTTTTCTCAATGGTCAAAATGGGTGCTCTCCTTTCCGTGAAATCTGGGGAAATGCAGATAGACAGGAAGTTAGAAGAGCAACAGTTGCCAATGCAGAGGATGGAGAGCAGAGAATGGCCGTGAAGTCTGTGTGCTAATAAAAATCTTCTGGAATCGGTTAACTGCTGTTAACCTGTGAATATACCTAATCTCACGGACTGAATCACACTCTTTAAAAGACTGTGTATGTGAATTATATCTGAATGTTTTTAAAAGGCTATTTTCTGTATGCGTTTTAAATTCAAAACTACACCAGAAAGGTAAATTGTGTGTGTGTGTGTGTTTAATATATATGTACATACATACATACATACATACATACATACATGAATTTTTTTGAGAGAGAGAAAGGAAGTTGTTGGTTGGTAGGTTGGTTGGCTTTTGGTTTTTCAAGGCAGGGTTTCTCTGTTTAGACCAGGCTATCCTGGAACTTGCTCTGTAGACCAGACTGGCCTCACACTCAGAGAGCCACCTACCTCTGCCTCCTGAGTGCTGGGATTAAGGGTGGGCACCACCACCATGTCTCCCTAGGTAAGAAGGTGCCCAAATGAGAGGAGTCAAAAGTGACAGATTTCCACTAACATTTGGAATAACTAAAATTAGAACCATACTTTCTATCACAAACCAAAATAAATCCCACATGGATTCAGAATTTGAATGTAAAACTGGAGATCATGAAAGCACTTACAGAAACTATGCATGAATATTTATGGGATCTTGGTTGAGGGAAGTTCCTAGGCATGATGTAAATACCAGAATGCCATTAAAACATTTCGAGAGAATATTAAATGACCCAAAGGACCTGAGGTGTGATAGAAAGGCCTTGAGTTTGATTCCCAGCACCACAGAAACAAGTGTGCATAAAAATGGAAATAATCGCATTTTAAAGGTATTGTTACATTTTAGTAAAAATAAATAAATGGTGTATGCCACAATACAAGCAGGGGTTAGCTGCCACTTGGGTGATAGACATTAGAGATTTTTTTTTCTAACTTTTCTCACTTTACTGACCTCCCCACACCCCCCACAGTGTTATTTATTTTTAAATTTGAAAAGTGGAGCATTTGGATGGTTAGTTCATGAGAATATGTAACATCTGGGTCTTCAGAGGCAAATTTAATACTAAACTCTAGAAAAACGAGGCTAGCTTTGCAGAGCACATCGGGGCAATACTTGCACATGCCTACCTGTGTGATTGTGTTGCAGGGTGTGGAGTTTGCTCCATCTGGACTGGATAATTGTGTGCCCTCCACCACACATACACAATATCCTGATGTTTTCTCTTACCTCCCCAGTGTTTGGGGTTTGGGTTTGCTATGCTTTGTCTTGTTTTTAAGAGAAGCCATATGCTTAGGAAGAAACTCTTAATTCACAGTGTTGGCATCTAAGGGAAAGCCAGATGCCTGTTTCATCTTTCTTTGCCTTACCTACAAAGAATGAGTTAGCACAGCGTTTCCGGTTCCCACAACCTTTAGGTTCCCAGCGTTTTGTCTCCTCAGGAGAGGATTTGGCATAAGACACAGCAGTATCCTATAGCCAAAGCAGAGTCACCTACTTGGAAGACGAGGCCTCCCATGGCCCTTCATGGTCCAGAAAGACTACCGATAACGTGTGATAGAAATAGAGCGAGCTATCTGGAGACCAGTGGAGAAAGAAAAGGTTTTAAGTGTCACACCACTTGTTCTGCTGTTGGTACTCCTCTTCTGAGACACGATTCAACTATGACAGTTTCTCATGTTAAATGCTCTTCATCTTTACCATGCAGATAAGAGCCAAGTGAATGCATCTTGCTGGGGTTTTTCTACCATGTTTCAATAGTTCTTCCTGTTTAAAAGTAAAAACCTTTTTGCTGAGACCATCTCTCCTGTTCACGGGTGGTGGGGGGCTGGGGTGGGGGAGCTAGTGGACATTTCCTCGCACCTTTCTCCTGGTTGTAAACAGCATGACTCTGAGCACCTGATCCCTGGCTTCCTCCTTTATGCTAATGAGGAAAGCCTGTGGCTCTTGGGCTGGACCGAGATTGGCAGGCAGCTGCTTCTGGTATTAGAAGGCTTAGTGATAACAGTTTCCAGCCAAGTCACTTCACAAGATGGCTATAAAACAGCATGAGCGCGTGTCTTTGGGCCACACATCCCATGAGAACCTGTGTGCCTCTCTTGTGGTTACATGTTCTGCACTTTTTCTTCTTAAGTTGACTTTGATGACAGGGGGCAAGACACTAGCTAGATTGAAGGGCAAGGATGTGTCCTTTTCCTCTGAGAGAAGCCGCAAGATTCTTACCATGGCTTCTTTGGCATCAGTGGAGGATTCCACAAGTTGGTACTGAGAACTGAATACACAATGGTCCTGATGGGTGCTGTACTGCCGAGGGGTGCTGGTCCCCGGCCCCTGCTGCTGAGGAGTAATAGGTGTAAGTGTAATGGGACCCATATGCGGAGGCCCTGCTGTGTGCCCTGGTACCTGCAATCATGACTTCCATCACATCTGGGTTCAGCTAGACTCATGCGTGCCTCCCATTGTCTCTTTCTTAGGAGCAGCCTATTGCCAGTTCATGGACATGCTCTTCCCGGGCTGCATTAGTTTGAAGAAGGTAAAATTCCAAGCAAAGTTGGAGCATGAGTATATTCACAATTTTAAACTTCTGCAAGCATCATTTAAGCGGATGAATGTTGATAAGGTAAGGAGCATGTTAGTACCCCTGTAAAATGCACTCTTTTCTTCAAAACTGCTTTTAGTATTTTATTGTTTTTAAATTGTGTGTATGTAGGTTTGTACATGTAAGTGCAGTGCCTGCAAAGGCTGTAAAATGGTGTGGGATTATCCAGGAGTCGGTTACAGGTGACTGAGAGCTACTCAATGTGGGCGCTGGGAATTGACCTCCAGTCCTCTGGAAGAGCACTATCCATGCCTTAGCCATCGATCCAGAGCCCTTACAGTAGTAATCAAAGATGAAAACGTCTGAGGGATGTACATGGATATCTCACCATGTGGGGGACTGTACATACATAAACAACAGCCCTGCCCCCACCCACCCACTCACACACACCATGCCTGTGAGGTTTTAGTTTTAAGAAATCCTTAACCCTGTAGCCATCAGACACAAACCTCTTTGCAGAAGTCCTGAATGTTAGAGCCCTAGGTCTTTAGCTTCTCCGTGTTGCAAATGAGAAGCTTTAGTGTTTACCAGAGGCCTCTGGGGTCCTTTGGGTATTTTGTCCCTTTGGAAAAACAAATTGTTAACAGGAACCACACTGAGTTTGAGTCTCAGTTCCATGACTGATGCAAGTAATATAAAATTTCTAGGTGTCTACACAGCCCCTCTGTGAAAGAGGACTGGGGTCCTCCTTCCTCGTGGTTATGATATGATAATGAGGAGATGCCTGTGAAAGTGTCCAGCATAGTGCATCCCTCAGACTCCATCATCCGGGAATGTTGCTTTCCACCTTTGAAGCATAGCTTTGCCCTAGAATGACACAAAGGTCCTCCTGTCCTCTGTCCTCCCAATAAGGGACTCAGGGGCTAAGATCGGCTAGTCTCTCTCAGTAAGTGCTGACTGCTCTTCAAATGTTCTCTTACTGATATGTGTTCGTTACACAGGGCATTTCTCTTAGAATGAGTATGACTGGCCATATGTCTTAGAATGAATAAGCATGACAGGATATGAATTTCAAACAAAGGGGAAAGAGATAAAGCAGCTTATGAGAAACAACTCTTAAAAGAGCAGTATTGTAAAAAGAATAAATAGGCTACAGGATACAAAGTGGGTACTAGATTATAAGGTATAAAGGTTAAAGAAAAGTATAGTAATTCACACAGGCCATCACTTCCCTAGATTAGAAGCAGAGAAAACCTGGCTTCGTCTCTTCTGGGAATGCTGATTTTAAATTGTATGGACTTAGCCAGGCATGATGGTGCACACCTGTTAGTTCCAAGGCTGAGGCCTTGGGAATTTAAGAACATCCTGGACAACACATGCAAGTCCCCCTTCTCAAGAAGAAACAGTATGTATGTTTCCTCTGTGAAATCTTTACTTTTATTCCTTTTGCTGTGGCTAATCTCCAGGTAGCTCTTTTTCCACATGCCCAGCTGTACAGGCTTTCCTTACTTTTCAGAGAGTACATGCTTGTACATTAGAAGGAAGAAACACACACACACACACACACACACACACACACGGGGTGGGGGGGGTCTGGCTGGAACTTGGCTGTGAATCAAATCAGAGAGCTCTGTGCATCTTTCTGTAAGTGAACGCACAGAAAATCTAAGAATGTTGAAAAACAAGTTTGCAATGGCAGGAGACTGGCCTTGGCCTCACCAGCCTGTCAGCCCAGGAGCACCAGGGTGCTGTGATTGCCCAAATCCTTAGAGAGACAGTAAGTGTCATGTACCCATCATGTCTGTCATGCCCAGTGTGTTAGAGGGCTCCTTTGAAGCTTATGTCCCCAACTGGGAATGCAAAATTAAGTCAACAGCAGTAAGAGCTGCCTTGTAGCTGCCGTGTCCACCATCATGTAAAATTCTCACACGTAGGCAGCAGACAAATTGCTTCAGTTGTTCAGGAAGGACCTCGTGCTCCAAGTCACTTATCAGTTGTCAGTCAGTCTCTCCGAAAGCAAGCAGCAGACATCAACTGTAATAAAACATCCAGCAAAGTCAATGAGGTACAAACGGGCCTGGAATTCAGTGAGAGTTCGAGGGAGGGGAGAGGAGGGACATGGCAGCACCCTAGGCTCCGGGACCAGAAGCAGCTTGATGAAAAATGCGCCTTCCAGAAACTTCTCTTTATTTTGTTCTGCACCTATGTTGCTTTCTATTGCAGCTGCACTTAAATATTTTTGGAAAAATATATCACTGATGACTTAGCTAAACAGGTAGCCGAAGGTTCTCCCCTCACTTTTTCCTCCAAGTTATGGTTGATGCTTAAGGGCTTTCTGTTCTTTTTTTCCAGTTGTTTCATTTGCTTTTGAGATTATAAGATCATTTTCCCCTTCCCTTTCTTCCCTCCATACCTTCCTATACTCGCCCCTCCTTGCTCTCTTTCAAATTCACGGCCTCTTTTTTCATTAATTGTTCATTGTACCAGAAAGTCCCATGCATATTCCAAAGGAGGGAGGCAACCAACACCGGAATGGCATGGTAACCCGAAGCGTGCCCTCGTGGCACACATACTTCAGAGGTGGCCAACAGCTCGCTAACTGGCCCTTTCATCAATAGGAAAGTCATGCCTGGCACAGGAAACCTAGCCAACTACTCAGCTAGTGAAGTCAGTGATTGTGGAGGAGAACCTATGGCCACCATTTTCTATTCTTTTTAACGTGTCCCTGTTGGCCTTTATGACCATCAATGGCATATGGTTTCCAAGGCGGCAACGCTTTGCTGCTGCAGGGTGGTCTCTTCAGTTTCCATTCATGTTGTCATGCCACAAAGCTGTGTCTCCTGCACACTGGGCTTCTTCTGTCTTGGACACACATACACATCTGCATTCTGACTCAAGACTTAGTTCACTCTCCCATGGTTCTCATTTGGTTGTCACCCGATGATAGAAGAGGCAAAATCTAGTAACTGTGCTATGTGGGAAGCATCATGATATAATTCCATTTTTCCTTAAAAAAAAAAAAAAAAATAGTGACCCACTGAATAAGCTAAGCAGTCAAGGACCTCCCCCACCCCCATTCCTCTTTCTCTGCCACATTCCAAAGGTTCCTGGGAGAGCAGGCAGGGAATCCTGGCTGATTCTTTGAATTGTAGTGGAAAGGTTACTCTGAAAAGCTGAGTTTCGAGTTTTGAAGTTGCTATGCAAGCCATGGCTTTCTTTGCATGTTCCCATGACCCCCCTTAATGAGCGCCTTCCTCTCTGCCTCTGCAATCCCATGAACCTTTGCGCCCTGCACTGTGTTAGTTGGGATGCTTGCCGCTCTACACTTTAGTAAGCTCTGTTCCTGGTGACCCATTGATTCAGGATTTCACTGGCCTGCCCCTGGTTCGTGTGCTCTAGGTGGTAGCTATAATCCTTATAGGAGTTTATCTCACTACAGCTGGGCCAAGGGTTCACAAAGAAGCAGGAAAGCATTTCACCTTTGAAACCGCACAACATCCCAAGCCTGTATATTTTTGTGGGGAGACTGTTAAACTATAAATATCCTACACATGAGAGAAGTCCCCTATTTTGTTCTCTGGTTTTGTATATTGGCTTTTCCGAGATGAGGCCTCACTGTGTAGCTCAGTTTGTTCTCAAACTCATAATCCTGCCTTGGTCTCTCAAGGGCTAGGATTACAGGCGCATGCTACCATCAGACCCGGCAGATCACCCCATCTCGACAGCTAAGGATGTTCCTTTATTCAGGAAGTATTACATTTTCCATGACAATCCACTCTTTTTTTTTTTTAATTGGTTCTTTAAATAGTTAAAATTGTGTTAATTCTAGAATACTGCTGAGAAAATAGGCAGGCAGACAGTCGATGGTCAAGAGCTGTAAGTCACCAAAGAGACAGCTCAGTGGTTTAAAAGAGGACTCTGGTCCAGTTTTCGTCCCCAACACCTGGTGGCTCACAGCCATGTGTGACTTCAGTTACAGGGGATCCAGCGCCCTCTTCTGGTCTCAGCAGGCCCCATGCACACATGGTGCACATACAGACAAGCAGGCATACACGGACACATATATACAATTTTCTTAATTTTGTTCATAGAAGACCCGCAGGCAAGCCGTTCTTGGGATACATTTTCATAACACTCTAAAGAAACCTGAGGTTTGTGACTCATGGAGTGACCTGACGTTGCAGGTAATTCCAGTGGAGAAGCTGGTGAAAGGGCGTTTCCAAGACAACCTGGATTTTATTCAGTGGTTTAAGAAGTTCTACGATGCTAACTATGATGGGAAGGAGTACGATCCTGTCGAGGCACGACAAGGGCAAGATGCAATTCCTCCCCCTGACCCTGGCGAACAGATCTTCAACCTGCCCAAGAAGTCTCACCATGCAAACTCCCCCACAGCGGGTATGTCACTGTCCTTGTGGAGAACGGCTCGGGCTGTCTCCTCTGCTTCAGTCTGAGCGTGGAGCTGACGGTGCTTCCATGCTTTTAGTGTTGTCTGCTTTCACACTGGTTTTTCTGTGACCCATTTGTCATGAATCTAACGATTTTGATTTCCGATAGTAAAAGGGCAGAGCCACACATGCTGTGAAGATAATCCCCTGGAGATAGATTTCTTTTTCTCTCTTAATTTTTGTCTAAGAAGTTTTTAGTAGTCTGCTTAGATCTTCATTAAAATATTTGTATGGCTTAGTAGCCGGCAAGACAGACCATAATACAAACTGACTTGTGCTGTTAAGCGTGGTCCATTTTCCGTAAGCACTCAAAGAAAATTAGTGATCGCTTTTGTATGTAATGTGGATCCTTCATTTAGTATACGTCCTTGTCCTAAAAAGGGAAATCATTGAGGACACATACCTAGAACAGCCAACTTGACCAGATGAGGTGTGCTCTGGAGAAATGGTGTAATTATTATAAATGCTAGTTGTGTTGTGTACTAGGCCATTTAACTGTGAAACTCTCAGAAACTTTTTTCCATCTCAAATGCAGAGCCCATTGTTCAGACTTATTACAATAAGGATTTTTTTTTCTGCCCATCTTACTATAGTCAGTATGGATTAGACATGATTAATACTAAATACAGGTAGCTTTATAATCATACTTTTCCTCACTGCTTAGAAATCTTTTCCTTCTTTTCTATCTGAATCCTTAGCTATAGCCAGGGAATCTGTGTCCCTTGGAAATATGACATCTTAAAAAGATTTTTGAAATATTTTTGTTTCACAAAAAAAAAAAAATTGACCTAGCAGTACTGGTGTACACCTTTAATCCTAGCACTCAGGAGGCAGAAGAAGGTGGATCTCTGTGAGTTCAAGGCCAGCCTGCTCTACACAGCAAGTTCCAGGACAGGCTCCAAAGATACACAGAGAAACCCTGTCTCGAAAAACCAAATAAATAAATAAAAATAATTGTTTGAGATAATAAGATCAGCTTGTATACTTACCAGTCTTGTAGATGAGGTCTTCTTCACGTGGGATAACACAGCAGAAGGAAAAGAATACATATGTCTGGGATGTTTGGGAAGTAACTGGGCTTTGGTAATGGGTGGATGCTGGAGTGAGCAAGCAGCTGCCAAGTGTGACTCTTGCTGTGTCTCCCACACTTGGAAAGATGAGGTTATCATTCAGGAAGTGCTGAGAGAGCTGGATTTGAGAAGAAATTGTATTTATCTTCACACACTGAGTTTCAGGTTTCTTTGCAGCATCCAAAAGACTATCTAAATGTGTGTGTGTGTGTGTGTGTGTGTTTGTGTTTGTGTGTTTGTGCGTGCGTGTGTGCACGCACGCACGCACATGCAAACAAGACATAAACATTTGTGAGTGTTCCATATCTTGAAGCTGGAAGCGAATACAGAATGATAAGGAGGGGCTGCCTTCAAGAATTCCTAACAATTATGTGAGTAGTGGAGAAGAAACTTTCCTGGAATGCAGAGAAAATGCCAAAAGATTGGAAGAAACTAAGGAGTGGCTTTCAGGGAAGCAGAGGAAGGAGCTGGGATGATTGACAGTTTCTAACTCTGCAAGGAGTCAACTAAAGTGAAGCCTGGAAGAGTTTGTTGGATTGTTCAACTTGAAAATCATTCATGAAATGATGAGACAAGGCCTGCATTAAGGAATGAGTTGGATAAAGGACACTGAGTCCAAGTCCACTGTTGGAATGAATGAGTGTGTAGATAAAGAATGCTGAGCACAGATCACTGTAGTTAGACACGCGTAAAGGGAAGAAGCCTTTCAAAGGGATGAGCGCAGACCAGTCAAGAGAATTCAAAGCATTAGTAGTGTGTGAAATCACAGAGACCTAGAATATTTTTCTTTCTTCCACAATCATACTGTGACCTTAATTTTTTGGCCTCAGCTCCCACATTTCTCTTCCAAACAGAACTACAGTATGTTGCTTTGCCCTCATTATCTAAGAATTCCCTCATCTGTGTCTCACAGAAGAAACAGTAGGAAGTTTCTAGAAAGAGGGTCATGAATATTAAATGTGGAAATATGATGTGCAATGAAACGTGAAAGTAGTGTGTAGAGAACTGACTCCCAGGGTGTGATTAATCACCCTTTGGAGAACTGGTTCTGAGACGCTGGGCACTGGAGTCTGGGTCGCAGCAATTGAGCAAGACCAGGTAGGATGTGGAAGTGAGGACCTTTATCAAGGATACAACTGCGGAAAATAAGAAGCTGTGGTTGTCAGGGAGAGGGAAGCTCGGGGAGAGATGAGAACCGTGCTCTAATTGTGTGCTTTAGGGAACAACCCAAAGTTATCAGATTTGTAAGGTCAGGGAAGAATCTCTGAGGAGCCAACCGGGAAAGAAAGAGGAGAGATTAGAGGACTGTGATCCTGAGCATGGAGGAGAAGGTGAGGTCAAGGGCTCAGGGGGTTAATGGAAAAGGGAAGATGTATTTTTCTGGAGCAGAAGCGAAGGGAGAGGTTGGATGAAAATTAAACCACAGGGAGATTGGGAGGCAAAATTTGATGCAGTTCAAACCGGTCACCTGCTTCTGTCAGCAGCTGTCATCAGTCTACGAGTCAGAGTAGAGCTGATGCTGACGGCATGTCCCCAGGACTGGGATTCGGGAGACATGTGCAGGACTCGGTGAGAACCCAAGGCATGCTGCCATTTCCCTTCTTGATGTCCTTTTTGTAGCTGTTACTGGTGGACAGATTGGCTTTGAAACTCAACTGCATTTTTTAAAATTCGAATAGTAAAGCTCAGAATACTTTTCTTCCACAATCATGATGCATCTTTATCTTATTTTTGTAACCCTTTTAGCACTTGTTAGCACTTCTACTCTTCTACCCAGAACTAGGCCACGATGGCTAGCCCTCTCACAAAAGCCACAAAGTAACTTGTGCTGTTTTGATAGAGTGCCATGAGCCTGAAAGAGAAATTTGTTTTTCAGAGCTTAACCTCTCAGGTGACAAAGCTAGGGAAACAGATGAAAGTCAACAGTTAATACATTTTATTTTGTGTGTGTGTGTGTGTGTGTGTGTGTGTGTGTGTGTGTGTGTGTGTATGTATGTATGTATGTATGTATGTATTCCAGAAGGCAGAGATTTCTGATATCGCACCCATGCCTTGATGGTGTTTATTTTGTTGGCCTTATTTATGGAGGAATGGTATTAATCACACCCCCACACCCCTCCCCCGTTAATCAAATGTGTCCTGAAGATTCGACATTGTGGGGAAGTAAGATTTTACTAGAGAAAAATTATCACAAGATGTACATCACATGTGGGATATAGCTTTTAAAGACCATAATGGGAGAAAGGCCCTTAGAAATTCAGAAGGCTCCAACTTTCTTGAAGTCCTGCACCCAGATATTGGGAACATGGCCAAGAAAATAAGTCAAACATTTCCAGAAAGGCAGGAGAGGTGCTGGAAAGGCTGTTTATAGAATGCAGGTTTCTAGGGCCTTTCCAGAGTCTGTGCCTTTTCATGGCGGTGTACAATATAGTAGAACATGAGGATCTCAGTTCCTGGCACGTGACCTGTTAGGACAGGACACACAGCACAAACGGCACTGAGAGCTCCAAGCCTTAAGTTGGGAAGTTTACCAGAATTGGGTAGCCTGGATATGTGCTGCAAATCTAGCTGTTGCATGAGTTCCACATGTGTGGGTGAGTGTGATGTATAGTAGTAGGTCTCGGGGCTCACTTAGAATTCTCTGTTCAGAACACTGACCCATAACCTCTGTAATGTGATTGCAATGCATATATGTGGTATGAGTTGTCCTTCGCCCAAGACTGCAAGTCTGACTTTTTTGTTCAAGACTGGGGATGAACCTAAGTGCTTGATGAAGTGGGTGGAGCTAGATCCGTAACATACAGCCACTAATCTGTTTTCATGTTGAAAGCTTGAGCTCTTCTTAGCTATCTGTATCCTTGAAAACAAGTAATGGCTTGTATGGTTGGAAATAGGATGGGGGCTGGCACTTTGGAATACTTGGTTAATTTTGCAGTGGATGGATCTCTCCTCACAGATGTGCCTTAGGCTGATTTAACTTGCATGCCTGGCAGCTTCAAAGCATCTTGTATGACAGAGGACCAGATTACAGTGGGGGAGAGTGGTGTGGATGTAATGCCATGTAGTAGTAATTGAGAGGACACTGTCTGTGCTAGCAAGGAAAGAAAATCCTGCTTTTATAGCATCTGTGCTGTGTGTAACATCACACCAGAGATGGCTTCCTTAATAAAAATAGATGCTCTCCACACATTTGGTTTATTCTTTCTGAGAGCATGCTAAATTTCTCTACCATTTCAATGCAGATAAGAAACTTCTCCTAAGGACTCGAAGCATAAAGTTGGTTGATATCTGTATAAGTGGACAACATACCTCTACTATAAACAACGTTAATATGAATAGGTTTCATGTAGGGTGAATAGCTGCCAGGTAATATCAATTCTGACTACATTTTGAGGAGCTGTGTTTTCAATTGATTTTTGCCTACCACCCACAACCATGTTTAAATGCACATGTCACAGTGACAGCTATCTGTTAAGTGCATACGTCATCATGAAACATGATGTTTCTAAGTGTAATTGTCCTGATACTTCCTGCAATTCAATAGCTGTCTGGGGAGATAGGCTTTATGTGTGAAGACTTACAAAACATAAAAGGAAATTCAACATTATGGTTTCCATAGCGACTCAGACACATTGCAGATTCACATACGCTAATGTATTTAAATTAGACTCTCAAATATAAATATAGTGTGAGAGAGATTTAGAGTTGCTATGGGAATTGAGCTTTCTCTCTTCCTTAGAGACCAGTGTTTCAGCCTTAAAATCGGGTTAGGAGAGATGCTAGAAAAGTGGTTCCAAAACAGAAGGTACCTAAGCAGTGACAACGAGATGTCCTAATAATCCTTGTTAAATCCATAGATGTAGATTTGAGTAAATCCTAA